AATGGGAATGTCGATGAGTAAAGGGCTCCGAAACGATAACATGGGGCATACCTAGGTCTCTAAACCTCTCTGTCCAATCAATAGGATCGATAAAAAATACTTCATGTTGCAAAACAGGGAAAGGGATGACAATTTTGTTCGAGTGTAGTCCAAGTGCAGTGGGTTGAAGACAAGAGGCGAAGCGCCGGAAGATTTGGGAATTACCGCAACCTAGGTTCCGCTTTTGACGATTATCATTCTCATTTCTCCGTCTCTGAATGCTACTACTATTTTCTCTATTCGCCGTGAAATACGTATAAATCCTCGTATCGACTATACATGATGACGTAGTTTATCGAGATATTGCAAGAATCACTTCTCCAAACGCAGACAGTAGTCTGGATTACCCGCCGGGTTCTATAGAGAAAATCAGTTTCGGTTTCGTCTCCCCGAATATCACAGACTTACCAAAGCCCATTTGGGGAACGGCCGCTCAGTTCCACTGGCACCTCCTACAGCGAAGGTCCAGATGAAAATCATGATAGAGGTACCGCCGTCCAAGGCAGCACTCATCAAAAAGCTTGAAAACATAGGGCGTCAGAACTAATGTACTACCCGAAAGATAACTTGCTCTTACTTGTATTTCCTGAACCAGGTCGCTCGGTACCTTGGGAACAATTAATTAGCTTGATGCCTTCGGATAAACGGAAGAGCTGCTCACTTTCTGAGATAGTACTGCGAGAAGACGGCCAGCAGGAAGGTAGTGAAGACACTAGAGTTGATACCAACAGAGAGGTAACCAAGCTCGGCGACAAGGATGGGCGTGAAGACACGGTCGAAGCCAAAGTTGGGCCACTTCCTGTGTAAGAGCCAGAACGGCAGTGGGAAACCGAGACCAGCGATAAGCATGTAGGGCACGAACTGTTGTGCAAGTTAAACGATGAATGAGAACCAGATGTAACACAGAATGACGTACAGCGTATGGGGTTCCAGGAGCGTAGAGAGGCTTGCCGAGAGCACCCCATGCAATAGCCGCACTGTTGTACGATTGCACCTGCTGACCAGACCAAACGTTTGAACTTCAAGAGCGGGTCAGTCTTGACTGCAACATAGTTGCGAATTATATTCCACCCACCCTTGAACTTGGAGCAGGATTTCTCGCTGTCCGTCGATGACACTCTGTGGATGACCCCCTTTAGCACTCGGTTGACGGTAATCTACGAGCTGCTTACCCTCATTATCAAGAAGTTCAAGAGACCGCCGATTACAGTACCGATCATTTGGACGTTGAAGGTGACCATTGGAGGAATCTTGGTGTATTGACCCTATCCACGTATGATTCAGCGAATGCCCCAATACCGCAGCGTTACGACAACGTACCATCTTGAGATCAGTCATCAAAGCAAGAGCCTGAACGACGGGATTGTAGCCGTAAACTGTGAAGTACATGTTTGCAACAGGCTTTCCGGGAATCAACGCTCCTCCAAGCATCTGAATCATGTTCTCGATACTAGGTGCGTATCCGACAGTAGCGCTGAGCTATACGAGACATAAGGTTCAGTCCATCCAACAAGAGGACACACATACCGTTCCGATGACAGGGACAAAGATCCAAGCAAAGATGAGGGCGATGATGAAGGCCCACCATGGTAAACCAGAATGAGCACCGTAAGCGCAGCCGATACCGAGACCAGCACAGGCTACGAGGATACCGAGGTACCACCAGTTCGGGACTTCCTTGTAGACCTTCATCTTGCGGTAGTGTGGGTCATCGCAATCCTTAGTCTGATCATAAAACGTCAGCGAGGTATATTTCCGAAGAAAGAATGCTTCATACCCTGCTGTCCCGAATAATGTTCCAGACTCTAGGTCCGTGCCAAACAATGACTGACGGCAATACAGTCAATAATGAGACCGAGATAAAGGCGTCGACTTACAGTGGGTAACAGAAGCTATGGCCGAAAAGTCAGTAATCATTTAAGGAGGCCAATAACTGTGCCATACCTCCGATATACATAGTACGACTGATTTTGTACAAGAGCTGAGAAGCAGCGTACCAAGGAAGACCCTAATAAGCCGGAGAATGAGCATTCAGTATACACAAATTCAGTCAAGCGTACCTCCTGCGCAAGCTTTTCCTCATTCAAAGTAAAGTCGTCGTTCAGGATCCTCAGCTGATCATACTTGGTTCCTATACTCACAAATCAGACATAGTTATAATCCAAACCAGGACCATAACTTACCGTTCTGATAGAACAACAGTTGACTGAGGAAGGGGAAGTTCTGGGCATGCCAAGTGTTGGTGGCGTATGCAGCACAGAATGCAATACTATGCGGAGCATGAGCATTGAGTTCACGTTAAAAGACCAGGGTTCCCACTCACATGCAAACGGCACATCCAGCGTAGAGTGACAGCTGCGTTGACAGCGGAGTGAATAGAGCGCCCAATGTGCCTCCACCAGATCCGACATAAGCCCAGTCGAAACACAAGGAGAACATCCCCAAGCCTTCGTTTCCAGCGGCACCACCTATTTAGGTCACAAGTGAGCAAGGGTGTTATGAAATGGAGCGAACGAGACTAACCAAAGATACGGGTGAACCATGCGCTCTTCTGGTTGGCTAGACAGAAGATACTGACACCGGTGAGAGTTCTAGAATCGGAAGTGAGTACCGTTATCGTCTCGGTGAAGAAATAAGACACACGGGGCGATATATTCAGGGAACCATTCCCAGATAAAGATGCCGATAAAAGTGAACCAGAAGAACTTGAGACGTTTCTTCTGCATGACCATGGCCTTTCCACGATGAAGAGCATCGAAAAGTTGAACAGTCGGCATAAGCTGTGGATAAAATGCGAATGTTGGATACACCAAAAAAACTCGCATGATACCTATTAGGCAGAGTCAACCGTGATTCAAAGCGACGAAGGAGTTAGGCTTACCGGCGAGACCATATCCGATAAGCTGAGATGCGATGAGCCTGTGCAAAACACGACGTTATTTCACGGGAATTACACGAGAAAAGGCACCCCATACGTGAAAATACCGATAGCAGCGTTAGGCTTGACATGGTAGTACAGATCCTGAGCTGCGAAAATACTGATAGCCTTGGCTGAATGCGATGCAGTAGAAGACATGATGGTGATAGCGACGTGCTCCTTCATATCTAGAGAAGGTTTAGCAAGGATCTCTGCATCATGTACAAGGAAACTTACTGAATGGGTTGCCGTTCATAAACCTCCAGAATGCAGTATCGGCAGTCTTGACGCGAGCAGAAGGAGAAGGACCTGGGATGACGGTTTCCATACCCTATCATCGCTCTGAGTAACCACTGGTAAATGGGCCATAATAAGCGATTTACCTTGCCCAAAATGAAGGACACGATCTGTTGTAGGCGGGGTTAGCGCTGGCATCGGCTAACGAGAAAAAATTGGACTTGCCTGTAAAAACAGTGTGCTGACGTAGATCTAGATGGTGAACGGGGTTAACGACCGCTGTCAACAGTGAGTCCGATATCGCCACGAACCGTTTGGGGACGGAAATACTGTCCAAGATGACAAGACATTAGTATAATGAGATCGTCGTGACGACAGTCAAGACTCACAAAGATTTGCCCAAGTACAGCACCGAAACAAGATAGCCCAAGACTCAAGAACCACATCCGGAAAGTGTAAATCGGCATAGTGGGATCATCTTCAAGAGAAATGAGACGAAGAGCGTAATCCTGGTCGGTCTCTGAAAATACATAGTCAGTACGAACTCGAACGGAGAGTAGCGATGAATACGTACCGATAGGCCTCTCCTTCCCATCTTCACCAAGGTCAATGAGACGCGGGCCTTCAGCATAAACCTCGCCAATATCCTCGGCGCTGTCAACGATCGGGCGTTTTTGCGCAACACCTTTCTCGTCCACAAAAGAGCCTTGGATACTGCTCGAATCCCTCTTGGCATCGAGTTTCTCGTCCGAGGATGAGTGCTCGCTCTGCTTGTGAGCAAGAGTCGGAACCGCCGCTGTATCCATGGGTTCGGAAGATGGGGAGACCAGGTCCTCGAGAAGCCATCCCTCACACGATATCCAAATCTTTTATTGCAGGTGTTGCATATGGTGGATATCTGCCAAGAAGAAGAGGCACCAAAGATAAGCGAAAGCGGACGGTTGAAAAATTTGTCTTGGTCGTCATATGCCCTTGATTGACCTGAGAGAACAGGAACTTGGCAGATTTCAAACAGATCTCCCAATTGAGATAGAGAGATTTGGTCGGGGGGATATGTAAATGGAATGATACGAACCTGTTCAGGTCAGTTCAGGTCCCAGGTGGTGGTGCGAAGCAAGCAAGCTCGCGGTCACGTTACCATTCAAACTCCGAAGCCCAAACCGTTCTGACAGCGGCAAGCAAGTTGTCAAGTGTAAACGTTCTTGGTCCTTGAGCTCCACATAAGATTCTTTCCCCTCGTGCTCGACGCTCGATTCCGCATTATAGCGGCGCTGCAAGGAGTATGGCGTCTAGAACCCTTATCTTACCAGTTCCGGATATCGACGGCTAGCTTGGTCTTGGCAACGTGGCGTTACTGTTTTCACTGTTCCAAAGGGTCGATTCAACAGGGCTCAAATCGCTCAATGCCTCCCTGAACGGAAAGAAAGCCATTCAGTATCAGTTTACGCAGTGAGGGTGAATAACGGACCTGGCCTAGTCCCGACAAGTTTCCAGCTAGTCCCATCGGCACTGATAGATAGGGAAAGCCGTTACACCGTCACCTCAGAGGTAGTTGCTCCATGCCATCTGCCTGCTTATCGGTGCCAGAACTTGACAGCTTTACAACTCCAAAGTTCGTCACGAAATGCATGCGAAAGATGACACGATTCCAGGAACCCCGATGCCCGATTACGCGAGCTTTGCACCCTGGTGTAAAAACTGCTTCTTCTCCCCGAGTACCGAGAATTGCGCCGAAATAGCGATAGATTTGCAGTGATGGAAACGGCTACTGCATGATGAATAACTGCCAACTTCGAGGGAAAAAAGCTGGCTCAACCCAGGGTCGAACTGGGGACCGTCTGTGCTTAGTCAGCATTTCGAGTTCGATCCTGTGGAGGAACTGAGGCTGTAAGACAGAAATCATAACCACTAGACCATTGAACCGATGACGAGGTTGCAGCTGACAGAGATGTGTCCACATGAAGGGTCGAGGATGAGTGAGCGAGCTGCGGACAGTGGCAGGACAGTGCCGATGAGTATGTCGTATGAAGGAGATGGTAGTCAACGAAGGGAGGGTGTGTACGTCATGAGTGGCGTCCGAGGCAAACGATGCGAGCCGAGGAGGTAGATGGGCGTCTGCGAAAGGAAGATTTCGAAGATTGTGTGTGGTAGCGAATGATGGCTGTAGCATCAAGAAGAGGAGGATCTGGATCTTTCCTGTGCGTGGCGTTCGCCAAGCTTGTAGATGGAGAGGTCATCCTGGACAGTATGAATGAGTGGATAGATGGGTTCTATGAAGGGATGGACGAGTGGTTGTATATGATCGACCATGAGCGAATGGGTGGATGAATGCAAAACCGGTTGTTGCAGGAAGAGTCGAGATTTGAATGTACATGTGGAGAGTGTATTTGTGAGCAAGGAACGTTTAAAAATGGGACAAAAGTACTCACTGAGCCATACTTGTTTTAGATGGTTCTAGGAAACCTGCTTAGACACCGGGCATCTGGTGAAAGGCAAGCTGGTCGTCGTCAAGAGCGGCTTTCAAGCTCATTTGTGCGATGGAAGGGAAGAGCCCAAGCCCTGTGTCGAATTGGGTGCAGGAAAGGAGGTTGCTGCAGAGGTTTCCTGGAGATGACACTGTGGCGGAGCGTTTGCTCAACGCCTGGGCAGGTTGTTGGGAAGGAAAGGGAAGTGAAGATGATGATGCAGACACCGGTGGTGATTTGAGAGATGGTGACCACCCACCAGCAAGAGTGGCCTCGGCCTGGTCGATTGTGAAAGGATGGGTGAAGCTACAACCTCGCTGGTTGATACACTGAAAGAAATCAGAAAAAGCCCATGTTATGAACAAATGGACACGCACCATAAGGGCTTATCATCTTGCACATCAACGAACCAGCCGAATTTCGAGCCTGTGTTCGTGGATGGCGAACATTAGGGTAGATCGCCATTGCAGAGAAGTTGCAGAGAAGAGCAGATGGGGAAGGGAAGAAAGGATGAGCTGTCGACCTGTCTGGTTTATATACCCCCCAATCGCGTTTTTCACATGATTCTTCGCATTGGGCGACATTTGGGGCTGAATCGGATGAGAATAGCTTCGACGTCGCTGCGGTCTAGTGGATGGAGGTGGTCTGTGCGCTGGAATTGCCGTCAGGTGACCTGGGCGGCAATGTTCCCTACGGCCTGCGTCGGCCCGTTGCCGTCCGTACCTTTCAGCCCGGCGCCTAAATAACATCCCTCGACGTCAACCGCGACCACCATCTAGCAATCTCTAGCATCGAGTTCCAGACAAAGCTCGTGGCCACTCTAAGGCTGCGAGAGACTTTTTCACTGTCGCAACAAGCTTAGAACTTACATATTGACTTTCACCAGATCATGACAAGTAAGCGTTACTTACATCTGAATTCTGGTTCCGAAGAGGTGTAGTAGTATCCATGGCGATACTGATGGGGTGCGTTTCCTAATTCTCGTTTTCAACCGTTGAACTAATCGTCCCATATTTTAGTGCGCTATACAGTCCTTCAAGTTCCGAAGGTAACAGGCGGGATTGGGTACGAACTAGACCCGCGAAAGGTCATATCGTGTATCTTTCCTCGAGAAACGGGCAAGTAGTAGAGGCTGCTGTGTATGGTTTTGGCTTTATTGTCACTGCGGCCTAATACCGGAGGGTATCAGAGGTCAACTCAGTTACTAAAACGAAGTCTTCTGGGTTTTAAGAAAAAAGGTCGCCCGTAGGAGCGGAGGTGTTGCTACCTTGGGGTTTATTGGTTTTTCTAGCAGTGCACGAATACAGACTGAATACGGACAGGTTGGTTCTATGTATATGTACCTTCTGGGAAAGTTGAGGAGATACCTTGGTGATAAACGATGTGCCAGGGGAAGGGGACTACAACGGTTTGTTCTAGATTATACTGCATCTACGCTGAATGTAGGTACGCCGCGAATTGTCATTGAATATCTTGGGAAGTCGAAGACAAGATAATGGCTCTTGGCTGGTTTGTGCACTATCCTCACACGCAAGGGACGCATAGACCGTCAGACTTGCAAATGATACACTTGGGCCCGGGCTTGGGAGTGTCAACTCGAAGCTAAAGTAGTTTCATGATAAGAATCTCCGCCTGTGGTTCTTGGATATTGCTCACCTCCGCAACGTTTTCACTTCTCGCGAAAGACTTTCCTAGAGAGGATATTGATATGCTATGAAGTTGATAAGCGAACAGTTAGACAGGCTTCAAGCTGGTGACGCACTCGTTCGTGGATGCATGAGGAAGTCCTAGACTCGACTGCACAATGGCGACAAGAAGCAAGGTTTTGCTAATGGTATCAAGACGGGGCATAGCTAGCAATTGGCTTCATGAATCACTCATTTAAAGGGCGTAAGAGTCGTGGATTGGACAATAATACTTCAGTGCACTCCCAAAATACAATGTTATTGTGCGGGTGACAATCGTTTCATCGAGCAGATGAAACTGCGCACAGAGTCCTGACACGATTAGGGTCTAAACACAGCCGAATTGAGGGAGAAGGCAAAGGAAAAGACGGGAAGAATGGCCATGATGAGCAGCGAACCATTCAGTCAAAGATCAAATGCCTTTAACATCGAGTTTTTCGCACAGCCCCAACATTTGTCCACAATGGCTTGAAACGACGGAAAGGCATCATAATAGTTTCGAGATTTCACTCTGATGCTCAAGCTGACCGCAGCCGCTGTCTAGTGAGCCATTGAATTACCTCGGGAGAGACAAAGAGCCCAGATTGCTCAAAACACGACGTAAATATACAAGGAGTGATCCCAAGGTGATGGTCGTTAGAGACATGAACCGCCTTTTGAAAGGGTCTTTATGACGATGGCACTCGGCCTTGAGGTTTCACGGGTGTTAATTCGTCAAGTTACTTAGGATGCATAAAACGCAACTCTTGGTACAATTCCTTCTTGGCCTGATACGATAAAGTTCACTGTTCCCCTCGTTTGATCCAAATGTTCTTGTTGTCGAAAGCGTCGGCATCGACATCAGCCTAATAAGGAGTGTCAAACAGGAAGATTGATCTGAATAAAGGGTACATACCTCGCGTTTGATCCAGATATTCTTGTTGTCGAAAGCGTCAGCATCCACATCAGCCTGATGATGAGTGTCAGAGGAAAAGATTGATTTTCTGAATATATGGTATAGACTACCTCGCGCTTGATCCAGATGTTCTTGTTGTCGAAAGCATCTGTGTCGACGTCAGCCTGGTAAAAAAGTATCAGTACGAAGCTTTGATATCCTGAATAGATGGTGCATACCTCGCGCTTGATCCAAATGTTCTTATTATCGAAAGCATCGGTGTCGACATCAGCCTGAATAACGTCAATGATACGGTCGATGTTTCATTCAACTGGTTGGTACCTCGCGTTTTATCCAGATGTTTTTGTTGTCGAATGCGTCGACGTCCTGTAGAACAAGTTTAGATCGCAATTAGGTCAATGAAGCGTCAAGCACCCTCACTTCGCGCTTAATCCAGATCTTCTTGTCATCGTACGCATCAACATCAACCTCGAGTACAAGCTCAGCGAGTATCGACAGTTTGCAGACGACCGGAGCTCACCTCACGTTTGATCCAAATGTTCTTGTTGTCAAAAGCATCAGTATCGACGATGGCCTAAAAACAGTCAGTGAGTCGTCCTTCATTTCGTGCGCGTGTGCATACCTCGCGTTTGATCCAGATCTTGCTGTTGTCCCAGTTGTCAACCTCAGCGGGGGTGGGAGCTGCAGCGCAAGCCGCTACGAAAACAAGGACGGATACAAAGACAGACGAACGCATCGTTGGTTGAGAAGACAGCTGTTAATGAGGTTCTAGGTCTGGTTTTCCGTTATATACCTTCTTCAAGAACCTGCTCCGCCTAATTCGGGGGCCTAAGATCCTGATAATACGTTCAGATTGTTGCGCTAGATTGTGGCCACATTGCGTGCAATCCAGTTACGATGGGGCCAGAGTGCCCTATCTTGGCTTTAGAGATCACCAAAATGAAGATGAATATCATAGCACTCACATGGTCCTAACAAGGGCCATCGAACGATACATGCAAAAGTAGCGCATCAAGCCAATTGCCAAGGAGATATCCCGACAAAGCTGTGATGATGCGGAGTGATATCTGGAAATTTGTGTTCACCAAGAACAAGCTCCGTGGTCATAGTTGCGCTATCTTGCAAAGTCCGTTAGAATCTTTCAGGAACTGGCGGCTGCGCACATGCTCACGTACCTCATTGATTGATATCTCAAAACCGAGCGAGTTCGCGGAAACAACAAACCGCTAATTCCTTCGTCATATCCATCAATTATCTACTCCTCGTCAGCTACCACCTTCTCTTCCTATGGCTCGCAAGCTCCCTGACTCGGATGGTTATGCCCCGCTGCTTCAAGATGAGACCGACATTGAGCTAAAGCCTGCAAAGTCTGTTCAGCAGAGTCGAAACTCCGGCTGCCGTATCAAGAACGCGATCATCGTTGTCCAGTCTATTGTTATTCTCGTGCTAATCCTGGTGACGATGAGCAGTTACTCGTGGAGGAAGAGCGGCCCCTTGTTGTACTGTAAGTCGACATTTCCTGAAAAGAATCTCCGCACTCACGAGACCATAGCACCAGTCAACCATCTTCTCGAGGAGAGGGTCGTCAAATTCCACAGTGCTATCGGCAATGATACCACGATATATATGGGGGAGCCATCTCCTGAGGTCGACGAGGCATGGGATGAGCTGTATGGATGTAAGTCTCTAAGCAAAGTCAATACCGCACGGGATCACTTACCAGTTCTATCGGCAGTCGGCGTGAACAAAATTTCGAAGCATGAGGCCGACCAACTACCGCTCAAGACCGTTCGCATTCCAAACGACCCGAGTCACTACATTGTAGAGCTAGACGTGTTTCATCAGCTGCATTGCCTGGTGAGTAGATTCTCAGAACTC